TCGTGAACTTTATTACGGCGTCGCCCGTGTGTGTGGCTAATTTTAATACTTGCCTTGATCTGAAGTAATGAGCCACGCTTTTTTTTTCCCTTTTTTTCCATATGCATCCAGCAGCAGTGCTTAACGATGAGTCAACATCCATAAGCAGAGAGGCAAAAAACCGTACTCTGTCACTGAGCATTTACCAGGATTGAGTACACACTAGAATATAAAAGGCAAAAAATCACCTCGGGCAGAGACGACAAGTTCGCATTTTAACGTACTTCCATTTCGACACACATACCAAAAAAAAAAAAAAAAAAAAAAAAAATCAATACAGAAGGCACACCGTACGAGTAATTTCACCGTTGATTAAAAAAACAATCACCTGCTACCGACAGATAGTCTCAATGAACCACGATGTACCTACAAATTTGTATTTTTCACAATCAATTACCATATCGACAGAGTGACAATTTTTCTAAAAAAAAGGCCTCGAGCAAAACAGCGCTTGATGACCTCAGGTACAAGAATTTAGACGGAGAGCCACTCATCTCGCTCAATATGCACGCACGAAGAGAGAGAGAGAGAGAGAGAGTTCCATAACAGATCCGTGGTATGCCGGTAGCTGCTTCTCTGTAGCGATCAATAACAAGCGCGGAAAAGCTCTTCGAAAGAGACAGCTGACGAAAGAGCCTTTTTCTTCAGGGGGGGGGGGGGCAGCGTGTTTGCATGTTTTCACGTTTGTTTTTCTTTTTCGAAGAGCGAGTGGTTCTCTCTATCGAGATTAAAGGCAAAAAAAAAGTAGCTGGAGAGAGAGAGAGGAAAAATGACTCTCTCCCGCGTCCGTCTGACTGCCACGGCTGTTTCTACTACTACCACGAGAGAGCTGTTTTCCGGTAGGCATGTTTTTTCTCGGCTATCGCCACGGGCCTCGTTACTTTTTTCGTTTATTTTTGCGTGTGTGGGTGTTGCTCTGGGCGTAATGGCCATTACGTGGCTTACGCTTTTAATAGTTACGGTTGGCTCAACGATTTTTTATCATTTGCTACTTTAAACCATGATTACATGCTATTTGTGGTTATGTGATTGGAAAGGCGGTAGTGGGCTTTAGCTTGTGTTTTTGTTTTGACTTCGTTTTAAATGATCATAGATCCTTATATTTATCGCGTATTGATGCTTCGATGATGTTATTAAACGATAATCCTTAAAAGGAGAAGAAAAAGCAAGTGCTATACGACCGATCGATCAACATGCCCGATGGGAACGTAGTTTTCAGTAGAAACGGTGGCATATTGGTAAGACATGAAACTCTTTTTCCCTTTTACTTTAAAAAAAATAACCGCATATATGGATCCTGCGTAATATTGAATAGTCGTAGTATACTTTCTAGTTTCCCAAATAGCTTCCAATGGCAAGTGCGTCCTTTATAAATTATTCAGCCATTACCCAAGCCCCCGTGCTGAGCATCGAGATTGCTGGTATTGATTTATTCATGATTTTGATGATTGTGGAGATGCTCTTCGTGTGTCCACTAATTACTATCGCAACTGAGTACGAAAATATACACATAGAGATTGCGTGTGCGGCAAAAAGTCTGTTGCAAAGTGCCCGTCGATTTATATTTGATAAATCGTTACGCAACAGCTGCAAACACGAACTGATAGAATAGAGAGAGATTTTGGCTTTGCAGGCTCTGAATTTAGTTTTGATGAGTGTAGGTGATTGAATTTTGTAGGTATGGGAGAGAGATTTGGACAGTTTTCGGGGTAAAATTAAGTATTTAATTTATGAATGATGTCTTCATTGATTAGTGACAATTTACCATGAGGAAATAGAGCTCGTACGCGACCCATACAGATAACGGGTATTTTAATAAACAAGTTAAAATCGATGCAATCGATTAATATGATTCAATTGAAGGGCGGAACATACAATTACTCTCAGCGCAAATTGACGGATGAGTAATTTTTTTTCAGCCCAGCTTTTTGTTAGCCTGATTCATTTGAAAATACGTCAACCATAGTATGATTGATGGAAATTGTGACAAAAAATATCAAAATAGATGGATTTTTTTTTGTTCAATTTCTGATGAAATTTCCAAGTTCAGATGTTCATTCAGTAGACAAAAAATCATTTTAGTAAACTTGATATAATAATTATTTGAGAGACACTATTTTTAAAAAACTTCTCAGCAAGACCAAACATAAGCTGTTTTTTAATCCAAGGTGACTCGACTGTTTGGAGAAATAAATTAAAATACACGAATGCAAAAAAAACCATGCCCGCATAAATTATTATATTGGAAAAAACAATTTTCTTCACTTTTCGAGGCTCCCCCTCCGTTGAAGTGAAAAAAAAAAAAAAAATAGAAAAAACCGGCGAGCCCAGATAAATATTATTGCAAATGCTTAGGAGCAAATACCACAGCGTAAACTTCGCCTCGTCATTCGTCCGGTCGATATGAACGCACGGTTTCTTCCCTTTAGGCGAGTGATGCAAATATTTGTCCAAGAGAAAATGAAGTACGAAAAAAGAGGAGACAGTGAGATGGCATGTCCGTTAAACATCGCTTGCTCGGACAAACAAGCGCACGCGGAAATTCAATCTCTCGTACCTTTCCACGTGTTTTCTCAAGGAGAATAGCCGGAGGGGAGGCATGTGAAATAGCTTCTCGGAGACTAATAGAAGTAATTGCTCATGTACGCAGAAGTAATGTGATCTTGCGTGTTTTCGCTGCAGAAAAAAGTGAAGGGTTTTATCGGAATGCTTGCAGTAAGACGAATAACGGAATTTTAGCTGCAAACTCATCCCTGCATGCTCGTACTGTGTTACGTCTTAACAAATTTTCATTTTATAATGTCCCACACTTATAGTCTTGAACAAGCTTACTACATACTTGGACGGGTTAAGACTTTCCACCTAGATCTGCAATAGTACGATGGCAGTACACAGGGATGGCTGTTTTTACAAGTTTTATAAGGCTTTTGATTAATTATCATGAAATAATAATTAATTTATTAATCTTTGAAGAAAAGTAAGTATTTTATGTATTCGTACTTATTTATTTTTTAAATTTATAATTGAACTTGGCAACGCTTTGACCTTCACAGTTGACGCACAAAGCTGTACGTAAAAAGCGTAGTTATTTTTTTTGTTATTGGTTCAATTATTTTATTCTATAAAATTTTTTGCATTAAAAAAGAAAAAGAAACCAGGTTAAAGTATCAAAATAAATGTATGTATACATACACCCACCCAATTAAGCTCTATAGGATGTAAACAATATCTAACAATCATATAGTTCATGTTGACGCATATACATACAGTGTATCACATGGCCACCGTTTGCCACACAGTATTTGTTAAGCAATTAATATAAACGACTGATGAGTGGTGATACTTTTTGCTTTAAAAAAAATATAAGGCTGCTCTGTATAATAGCACTACCTAAAAATAAAAATGATTATCTTCTGACTCACCGATCCATCGCATTGAAAAGTAAGTTCAGTCTTAATCATAACAAACAGAGATTCTCTTGAAAGATCTGAGAAGATATTTTTAAAGCATTATTATTTTTCATCGCTATCCAACGCATGATCCATGAAACGTCTTTTCGCTTCACGCGCAGGAATACGTTTACGCGAACGTCAGTCTTCGGCAGTTTTATGCTTGGCAGCGTGCATACGATGTGGACGTATCATTGTACGCCGGACAAGGGATATTCTTGCACGAGAAGGAAAATTTTCCTATTCGCGTGGACACTACGAGTCGGCATTAGAGCGTTATGTTTCGTTGAAATGCGGAGAAAAATAAAAACCATCCCTTTCAAATGCATAACGAGTGCTGATAAGTTTTTTTTTAATAATATTTCTCTTTGACGGCCCAGATAAACCCTACAAGGGTTTATGAATCCTGTTCCTCCACAAGAAGTAGTGGAGTTCGATCCCTCTCGCTGATTACAGCTATATTGTGTGAAAACTTAGAAAAATGGACTTATACGTTCTCAAGCCTTGAGTATAATGAATAAAAAAATTTTTTTAATTGTATATTAATTGTCTCTAAGGTATCGAGACTTTTTTTTAAATTCAAGTAGAAACGAGCGTTATTCAAAGTTCTTTGTCGTATTAATGAAACCTGTCATTTCAACATGACAGTAACGATTTTTCTCAAATACTAGGTTACTCTAAAAGCATTTGACTTAATTTTTTTTTTATGAATAATTAAAAAATATATCAACAGCAGAAGCAGCTCGTATTTGCAATTATATTCAACCAAGTATTATGGATATCTAGTGGGCTAAACAGAAAAAAAGAAAAAGTGATTTATAGGTACTCGTTATGGATGAAGTCTTTTAGTAAATATATACTCTTCATCCTATATACATCCCGTTTAGCAGATAATATTCTTACAACATCCAATTAATTTTACTCATCGTATAAAGAATGTACGTCTGCTTGCCAATGCAGGGAAACATAATATCTAAATGAACAGGCAATTACTAACAATCAAGTAAATTAATCGAGTCAAGTGCTCATTAAGCTGATTTGTTTGGCATGCAACGAAAAAATAAATAATTTTTAAAATTCGACGCAGCTCCAAGAATCCCTTTTAGTTTCCTCTACCGATCAATGGCCGATTACTCTCACCAGCCAACACAATGATTCATCGTAATTGTCGTAAGGGTAAGTTAAATCATCTTAAGCCGAATCACTGATCTCAATATGATTTTCATGACACATAAGTAAATCGAAGTAAGGCTCGCTCGAAGGAATCAAAGTTTACAAACAAGAGCTCAACGTAACTGAGCTATACAGTGGTTAAAATGGTCTCTCAGACCCGTACCTTTTTTTTGAACTCAAAACTTTACCTATTTCCGATTTATCGACCGGAAATCGGTTTCTGATCAACACTGATAATATTTTTTGTTTTTTTGTTTTCAACATAGCAGTAATAATTATTCATTCATCCACCCAACATAATCACCTGAATCATCGGACAAACAAAAAAGAGCCACTCACCTTGCACTTGGGGTACTCCTCTTCGGGCGCGGTCCTTTTCCAACCGAGCAGCGGTGGTATGCACACGACGGCCGAGAGTATCCAAACGAGGGTGATCATAAGCGCAGCTCTGGCTGGGGTGCGTTTCTTGAGATAACTGATCGCCTGGGTGATGCTCCAGTACCTGTCCAGACTTATCAGGCACAAATTCATGATACTCGCGGTGCAGAGCAGTACGTCCATCGCCGAGTGTATGTCACACCACCAGTACCCGAATATCCAGTAGCCCATGATCTCGTTGGCCAACGAGAAAGGCATGATCACCAGGCCGAGAAAAAAATCGGCCACCGCCAGACTGGCTATGAACCAGTTCTGACTGCTCTTTAGGGCTTTCTCCGTCGCTATGGCTATTATAACGAGCATGTTACCCACCACAATGATGAACATGAGTATCGTGACCACGAACCCGGCTATTATGATCTGGGGCAGCGCGTAGCCCGAAGGCAGACCGCCCTCCAGTATGTAGGTCTCGTTGTACAAGCTGGCGTTCCACTCGCTAAAGTTGCGATTGTTGTCGGTAACGAGGCTGGCGTTGAGAACCACGTCAAAGGCCGACGACGCAGCACCGTACCCCAGGAGCAGCTCAGCCTCGAGTGCGCTCGTCTCGCTGTAGGCTCCCTCGCGTGAACTACTGCTATCCTCCTGCTGTTGCTGATCTTCAGACGCCGAGGATTCACTGCTCTCCTCGAACTCGGTGCTGCTCGCACCACCGCTGGTCACCTCCGACCTGTCCAGCCTCCTGTTCGAGACGAGCAGCTGCTCTGTGTTGCTGTAGTACGTGGAAGAGGCGTCCTCGCTGCTGGACGACCTATCAAGCTTCGGGGTTGACGACCAGCCCGAGTGACCGAGCGTTGCCCGAGGTATCGTTGGTTCGCCGCTGTTACCTCTACCGTTACTTTGCTGCTGGGTGCTCGTCCACGTGCTCATTTTACTACTACTACTGCTACTACTTCTACTGCTATCGTAGCCACTCGTATAGTTGGAGCTTGCGACTGGGCCACCACCGTACGTACTACTGCTACTACCTGCCGGCCGATTCTTTTCTGCCATCGTGCCTTGCGTGTGACTACCGGCAGGCCAGAGCTGCTGCTATCTGGAGAGTGGTACCGTGCCTATCATCGAGCTCGGGCTGACCGTCGTCATTGTTGTCGTTAATGTCGATATCTTCGTCATCGTCGTCGCCGTCGTCGTCGTCGTCGTCATTTTTGTCATTTGGACGTCGACAGGGGTAGTAATGGTCGTAGGTGAACCAGCGACATCCAGCCGGGGCTGCAGTAGCGAGGCCAGCAAAAACAGCTGGACAACAAGCAGAGATGCAGCTTTCTTTGGCAGCTCGCATCTCGACGAGGCCAACTTAAGCGTCATCGCCCGCTCGGCCTCCCGTCCTTTTGCTTCATTCACGATTCCGTCATCCTCCCTACTCCGTCCCAGCCTTGATCCCCGATACTTATCTCTTTCTTTGCTTTTTCTATCCGTACAACTTCCAATGAGACTCTCTACACGAGCAATGCCCTCACCACCACGACCGTATTCATCTTCATCTGGGATACACACGCGCACACCCGAGCACTTTCTTCCCCCTTGCGATCGAGTCCTTCTTCTCCACCGGCCGGCGAACCAACGTCCACGCCTCCTCTTCTACTCCCAGCTGGGATCAGCTCATTACAAAAATTGCGGAGCTACTCGACCGTACAGCGGAACCGTGCCGTGGATGGACAGGTCGTTTTTCGCCAACCCGGTCTAATGGCCCCTCCGAGACCAGCCCTATTCGTCTCTGTAGACGAAAAAAAAACAAACCAAAAAAAAAAAAAAAAAACACTTTGCCGTAGAGTAAGCGAGACGAGAGCACCCCAACTATTAATCTCGATCTGTGAGCGTGGGCGAACTAATACATGACTATTTTTGCGCGTCCGTCCTAACGTCGATTTCGCGCGGCAACTCACACGCCCTGCGTAGCGAGTGGTGTGGCTATCTACTCGAGCGGGACTCCATGGCCAATCAATTACACCAGCACGAACAGCTGAATTTCCGTCCCTTCGGCGTCGTAGGCTACAGCATCACGGGTGACATGCCATGATTCATAACAAAACTTTGTTTATCAATCACACGTGCAGTATACGCTGGTGTATACAAGGGTAATAGGGGGTGGGAGGCCGGAGAAGTGAACTTTTGCCCGATCGGTCGATCGATGGGCTCCCGGAAGTATCAACACTTTCGGGCGACGAGAGCACGGGAACGGCGATAAATAACAACTTCTGCGAGGGATCACCCGAGGAGGAAGAAAAACACGTAGCCTTAAAATCCCGCTCGGGGGCTGGTGAGAGGGAGAGATATATGTGGGCCGTAGCGCGCGTGCTCTGATGGGGGTGATTGAACTCAAGTGGTTGCTGGTCTTTCGAGTGGCTTTGGTGACGATACTGGCAATGGTCCACGCCTCATCGCAGCCAGCACAGTCGACGCAGGGAGGAACCCCGTACCACGTTGTTGTTTTTTATCATGTCGCAGCTGGTCCACCGAGCATCCGATTTCTGGCTGAGCACAGGTGTCACGATAATGGAAAAAACAGCAGCCTAAGGGGCTCATCGGTTGCGAAGCACTGGGAGAAGCTCGAAGGGTGCTGACACCCTGTTCTCTTACGTTTCGGGTAGAATTTCCTCCGCTGTTTTCCGTACGAGTTCTTTGTCCGTCCTTTACCCTCTATCGGAGATACGCGATTGTACGGTGCTCTACGCGTGACCTCCTTTTTGCTTATCCCGTTCGGCACACTTTGTACGACGATCGCGAGGTACTAGAGGCAATCGGTGGCTCTTGGGAGTGAAATCAGCTTCCGCGTGACAGATACTGCGTTACAGAGAGTCATGAAAATATCGTGAGCACGCCAACAGCGGGCCACGTCTTCCTCGCGACGAGTTTTGCGGGCGACTGCATGCACTAGGCGGCGACGGGTTTGAATCGGCTTTCGGCGCTGTCTCATGTGGCGAGCAGGAACGCAGAGCGCAGGCGTTGGGTCGCGCCGCCGCCCGCTTTCTCGACGCACGAACGTTGTACTGTATTTATGTGCACGGGGTTGGGGAAGGGGAAAGCGTGTTTGCGCGCGGGATCTTCCTTTCTCTTTGCCTCCCTCGCGGCAGTTGATGTATTTTAGACGATGCTGCCTCGCGTCACGTAGCGGATGTGGGTAATGCGGGCCTCAGATGGACGTGAGTTTGACTTGTTCGCTGAATCAGGAGCTTTTTGTTTGTCTCATCGATAGCATCTGCTTGGAATGTCCTCCAATAACAATACATACTCATACATTTGTGCAATTAGTAAAATTCGATGGAGCTATTGTGGAATGCCTTACACCAAGTAGAAAAAACTGACAATAGTCAGACACAACTGTAATTCAAATGCCAACCTTATACTTTTCAATAATTTATATAACATGCAAGTAGGAAAATCTGTTTATGATTAGACGCACCAAAAATTACGCAGGTACGGTCACTGTCAAAAATTTGATAAATTTACAAATAGAGAAAGCAAACAATGGTCAGTACCTAAAATTGAATAAGTATTTACACTTTTGAAATAGCTCAATAAATCGGTAAGTATAAAAAGCCTGAAATGGTCAGACATTCACAAAATCTAACCAAGTTTTTGCTTTTTTAACAGTTAAATATACTAAAAGAAGACAAAGTCGTTCATATTTAGACACATCTTAAAATTACGTACGTACTCCCACTATCAAAAATTTAATGAATTCGAAAGTAGAAAAAGCAAACAATGGTCAGACATGCCTGAAATTCAATAAGTATCTATACTTTCAAATAGTTCAACAAATATGTAAGTATAAAAAACCTAGAATGGTCAGACACTCGTAAAAAATAACCAAGTTTTTGGTTTTCTAACAGTTAAGTAAACTAAAAGTAGATCAAATCATTATAGTCAGACACATCTAAAAATTACGTTGGTAAGCTTGCAGTCAAAAATTTACTGAATTTGCAAGTAGAAAAAGTAAAAAATGGTCAGACACACCTGAAATTCGATTAGTATCTATACATTTGAAGGAGCCTATAAGTATAAAAAGCCTGAACTGGTCAGACACTCATAAAAAATAATCAAGTTTTGGTTTTCCTAACAGTCAAATAAATTAAAAGTATAAAAAGTCGTTTACGGTCAGACACATCTAAAAATTTCGTAGGTACATCCACAATCAATAACATGATAAATTTATTAGTAGAAAAGGCAGAAAAAGATCAGAAACGCCTGAAATTCATTGAAAAATATTGTAATCCTACCATTGAATAGCTTAATTCAGTTGTACTTACAAAAAGCCTAAAATTGTTAGACACTTGTGAAAATAAGCACATTTATGATTTCCAAACGGTTGAATAAAAAAAAATGTAGAAAAAATCGTTTATTGTAGAACATTATTCAAAGTCATACAAGTATACACACAGTTAATAATTTTAGAAATCTTGAAGTAGAAAAAGCAATGGTCAGACATACTTAAAACTTAGTGAGTATCTGTGACTTTTAACAATTTGATTAACGTGCCAGTATAAAATGCCTAGTACAGGTAGACACATAAATTCTAAAAATTTTTACATTTTCTAACAGTTTAACAATTTAATAATCATGCAAGTAAGAAATTTGTTTATATTTATTTGAAAAATTACACAACTCACGCACCCACCACCTCATAGAGTCACATATTTCACGCAAAAACTAATATCGAGCTTGCACGTATACCTCAACAGGTTATACATTTTGATAACTATACTTCCGGTACTATCCTTTTTTTTCTCCTTCACCCCTGACACTGACGAGCCAAACGTCCCCGTGACCTTTTACCACCCATCTGCCTCTTCGTCGCGTCAAAGACGACAGGCGAGACGTAATGGGTTCGCCAGCGTTGCTACTTACCATCAGCCTAGCCATCAATTCACAAGCTTGCATCCAGCGTTCAGATGACACGTTTATTTACGCTTGCATGGAGTGACTAAGAAAAAAAAAGAAGAAAAAAGAAGGAGGGGGGAAAAGTCAGCAGCTGTCTCGGTCAAAGAAGAAGTGTGTGATACCGGGCGAAAAAAGTCCTTTCAAGGGTCAGGGGTTAGAAAGAGGGAAAAAGTTTTCCTCGCTTGGCTGTGATAAATCTGCCTTGGCTCAAGGTCGTGACTTTACGGTTGTATATACGTATACATGTACACATGTTTTTCGATGTATCCCCCCTCCCCCCTGATAGCTACGTTGTTGTTCGTTTTTACAGCTTGATCTTTGCAGTGCTTATTTTTACGTTTTTGCTCCTTGGGCTATTTTTTGAGTGATAATTGAAAGTAAACCAGCATTGCCCTTGTCTGCACTCCCCGTAGGATGGATAAATAATTGTGGCACGCGTGACACTTGGAGTGTATTATTGTTTTTTTTCTCTCTTTGTATACTTGATCCCTCGATCTGGGGATTGTCATCACAACTTTTTCTTCTAACTATATTACCTATTGGTTAATTTCATTTTGGTCTTTGACTCATAGATACATATACACTCCCTCCTACTGAGCAATACATATAACACGTTCTTGTGCCTTTCAACTGCACTTTGTCTTCCTCTTACTCACTTTGTCCTTACTTGGCCAACTTTCTGACTTAGGCCGAAGGTTACCTACACTTGTGGGGATAGATTGATTTCTCTTAGCCAATAGCACATGGCTGGATCGAAGTTTCAAAGGGGATGAAGGATAAGATAGGGTTACGGCCGCGCTCTCTTGCTCTCCTATACTTTGTGCAGCGCAGCCTTCGCTTGATTTAATTAAAATTTCAAGGGTGCGATCGAAATTGGGCTCATTAAATCATTTGATGGGGAGAACATTTTTTATCCTTTTTCCATTGACCTGACCCCGATAGTTGAAGATAATTGTAACACTCGGGAACTGTCTTCATTGTTACATAAAAGTGGTTCATCGGAAGCAATTAGTTTCTTAGCAATTAAGTCCAATTAAATACGCCTTCTTTGACGTGAATCACGAACAGTGTTTCGTGTGAATTTCATTAAATGCTTTGTCCCATTCTCTATTAGATACGAAAGGATTAA